TGATTTTATTTAATTAATTAAAGGCGAATGCAGTTAAGTTGGAAGCTATAAATTTCAGCTTTTAAAAAATTGGAAGAAGAGAAATTGATGTGTGCTTTTGATCTGAACTTGCGTGCCTAATCTCTACTTTAGCCAGCATATTTCTGGGCTGCCTTTCTTAAAGTGGGCCCATTTAATTTCGGCCATGAAATTACGCTTCTTATTACCACGTCGATTGTAACGCGCGCCCTTTTCTTGGTTTGGATCCGAATCGCCGGTGGTTCGAGACAAATGGCGTCCATTATTTTATAGTTACGCTAATGCCTTCAATGCCATGTCCCAAATTATAAACTTTTGGGACATGTCATTGAAGACATTCGCTCATGTCCCAAATTATAAGTTTTTCTTTTTGTTAGCAGCACTTAATCGATTAAAACGGTCACAAATTCAAACCGATAGAACATAATCAAATTATAAATTTAGCATTTCTAATAAAGATGTGTGTTTTAGACAAGTGATAAAAATTTAATTGATATTTTTTTATTGGAAGCTAATTTCATCTATATAGTCGAGAAAATAGTCCAGTTAATACTGATTAAAAATAATAACAAAAATATTTTTTATTTGACGATATTTTTATAAAAAATAAACCAAAAACTAATATTATAATGAAATTTTTTTAAAAATGCCACTTTTTCAAAAAAAGAAATTTTAGTATATCATTTATGTTTGGATTAACTATGTTGTATTATGATTTATTTTTGAGAGTTTAAGAGGTTTTAGGGATCAAAATATTTTTTAAGGTTTATAAGATTTAGGCTTTAAAAATCCATAATTAGTGGTATTTTTGCAAATAGACACTCCTAAGTGACATTCCTGCAAATGTACACACCAAAAGTGACATTTTTTCAAAATATGAGATTATATCACAAAATATATATGCGCTTGCATATAAAATTAAGAAAAATATTGACAAAATTATATTTATATCAAATATTATTGTTTCAAAGGTTTTTAATCTTATTGAACAACCATTGGGGGACTAGTTTATGCGCAATCAACAAACACATGAAAGCCAAAAAAAACACAACTAGGGATACTTTCCGATGACTCTCCGTTGCTCAAGTCAAAAAAAAGGGAAGACAAGGAGGGGGGAGTTGGGGAGAGTAAGAGAAAAAAGGTTGAAAAACGTGTAAGAGTGGTAAAAAAGTGTAAGAGTGACATTGGACCGAGCAAAAGATGGTCTACGGCGTATCAGAGCGCTTAGGGAGAGAAATATGAGATGAGGCAGAGTGAAAAGCATAGTATCTAGTGAAAATTTGGTCAAGGAACGATCGGAAAATTAGTTAACCCTAAACGGCCAAATAGAGACTAGGAACTCAATAGATTAGGCTTTAATCTCAAGAGAAATATGACTTAATGAGTGTTTTTTGAGAATCGGGTTCACATCCCCTTTAAAGTCGTGTACCTGTTCGGGATTGGATATCTGGCTCCATGTCCTCAAATAGGTTGGGTTTGGATTCTCGGGTTTCACTCGGCATGTTGCATTCGAGTGCTTTTCACTTAACATCTTTGTTTTTTCGTGCCACCTATCTGACAATAAGGTTCTACGACGATGATCTTGACCTTTTCCGTACTGGTGACAACGTCTTATGCGGTGGGTCTTACGCGGGGTGCTCCTTGGTGATCAAAAACCAAATATCAATCCTCCATGAAAGACATCCATCTCTAGCATAAAATGATGCAATCTCGGCTCTCAAATTGATTATTTTTTTGTGCTAATCCCTAGGCCTTCTTCGGATTTTCTCGTCATTATCGATATCGACTACGTTTTGGGATTATCGATTTCTACTCGACGGTTCATTGTTTGAGAGACAAAGTTAATGGGCTATTATTATTGATCCTAAGCAATCTATATTTATAATTGTGAGGTCAAAAATCCTATGTGTCGTCTCTAGAGTGAGTTTAAGACTTGGTGTTCCAAAAATACCTTTAATGAATCAATTATTTACACTCCTTGCCCTCGACATTTTTTTAATTAAAATACCCTAATCAATCCAATGAAAAAATTTAAGGGTTAACCCAATTTTTTCTGTGGCCCATGAACCAAAATCGGTTAAAAAAAAACCCTAGCGTCGATTAATGTTCGTTTTTTATTTCTAAATCTATTATAAAAAACCCTAGCTACGCCTACTTTAAACCCTAAGTGCCTCTATTATTCT